GATTTTGAAGTTGGAGGAGAAAATGAGATGGGAGTTTTTCGATATACCCTAACTGTCATGAACCGGAATGCACAGAGTTCACGCAGAATTCGACAAGGCGAGCGTTTGAGGTTAAAAAGTATATAAATTTTACATTTTTTTTTTAGAAAATGACAGATCGATTCGCTAGATAAGACCCTTCTTCCTCGTCTGGGATCGTGTAGAACACTTTGAAGCTGCACTGAAGCTGCAATTTGGACCTTCTTCCACCCAGTGAACCCCACTGATGTCCACTATATAGAGAAAAACCCTGGAATATTTTCCTCAAAAACCTTAATTTCTTTTCGACTGAAGAAAGAAAGACATGAACATCTTGGATGACATGGGGGTGAGAAAATTATGAGGAAATTTTCATTCAGAAGTGAACTAATCCTTTAAATAAAATGTATTGTTTATTAAATAATTATAATATAATTTAATGTAATTATTCTTCCTATTATAAATAATTATAAGCCAGATTTGTTCACACCTAGTAAAAAAATTATTTTTTCTAGTTGTAAATAAAACAAATATTTTTCAATTACGTTTTACAAGTAAATCACATTTACTTCATTGTGCTACTTGTATTTATTTGTAAAATTTACTAGTAATTTCTCAGTGAAAATTGTTCCAAAGACAGTTTTTTTAGTGTAGCTAAAAGTGCTTGCTTTACAGTATTTTGACTTTTTAAGTAGGAATTTTGGTTTGCCCATGTAGTGAAAGGCTGAATTTCGTTTAAGTGTTTGCATTTCGCTTTGGAGATATCACTGCTTGGTGACCAAATATGGGAAACTGGCTCCTCTGGCTGAGATCGACATGAGACCACGTTGCCATGCCAAAGTGGAGGTGCGCTATGAAGACAAAGTGGAGCAGGTGAGCATCCGTTTGGACCAGACCGTCGCAGGGCTGAAGAAGCAGCTGAGGACTGTTGTGCAGCTCCCCACCAGCAACATGCGCCTTTACTACATCGACAAGGGTTCTGCCTTTGGCCCCGACGAGTTGAAATACAGCACACGGGCCTTGCACTCTTACAGCATTCAAGATGGGGATGAGATCCTGGTAGTTCCCAAAACAAAATAACCGTCTTTCTTCAGGATCACAAAAAAGCTATATTTAAATAACCAAATCCACTTTGAATTAGCGCCATCTAATTTCCACAGAGTGAATGGAACTGTCTTTCAGGGAAAAACTTCTAGGATTTGCTGGGGCTTTAGTTCGGCACATAAGAAACACCGTGTTCTATTAGTACTTACTCTGCCGCTTTGGAAGTGGGCACTCAAACTTGTACCTCCAATACAAAGCATATGCTGAGAAAAGTGCTTATCTTCATTTCAACTGTATCCATATTATGGAGTGTGTTTATTTTGATATTTTACTCGCAGAATAATGAGATCTGTTTAGTGGCAAAACATCAGTCCACCAAAGATTGTTATGATTACATACACATATTATATATAATATGATTATTCACAGTATTTATTATGGATTTACTGATTGGTGTTATTTGTTAAAAACGAAACAAAACAAATCAATAGCAAACCAAGCAATGTGTATGACTCTATCCGGCCAGCAAAACATAAGCGGGAAATTTGGCTCCTATGTTAATTTAAAAGAATAGTTCACCCAAAAATGAGAATTTTTTGAAAATTTACTCACCCTCAGGCCATCCAAGATAAAGATGAGTTTGTTTGTTCATTGGAAGAGATTTTGCATTACATCACTTGCTCACCAACGGATCCTCTGCAATAAATGGGTGCCGTCAGAATGAGAGTCCAAACAGCTGATAAAAGCATCACAATAATCCACAAGTAATCCACATGACTTCAGTCCATTAATGAATGTCTTGTGAAGTGAAAAGCTGCATGTTTCTAAGAAACAAATTCATCAAGGCGAAATTGTTTTCTCCAGTGAAAAAGTCCTCTCATCTGTATCAAAAGAGATGTGCATATTTCTTTCCTGATTCTGACGAGATTACTTTTCAAGCACCATTTATAAGTGAAAACAGTCCAAAACATTTCTAAACTTAATCCATGGATTTTAATATGAGAGGACAACAGGGGATGGACGATTTGAGTCATGTGGATTATGTTGATTATTGTGATGTTTTTATCAGCTGTTTGAACTCTCATCCTAACGGCACCCATTCACTGCAGAGGATCCATTGGTGAGCAAGTGATGTAATGCTAAATTTCTCCAAATCTGTTCATTTATAATTTACTCTTGTTGATCCAAACCTGTATGACTTTATTTATTCTAGGGGGCATAAAAGAAAATGTTTTTCCATACCAAAATGGAAGTCAATGGTAACAAAAACTGTTTGGTTACCAACATTCTTCAGAACATCTTTTGTGTTCCACAGAAGAAAGAAAATCATACAGATTTGGAATGTAAGTAATTGATGACAACTTTTTCATTTCTGTGTTTTTATCCGTTTAAAAACACAGAAATGTTTTCATTTTTTTATCCTTTTAAAGATACTGCAGCTTGACTAAAATGTGTTGAAATGTGCAATGCAAGACTGTTTCCTTACAGTGCAGAAAGTGACAAGTTCATTTTACAGAAGTTATAGGATAAAACCAGCAAACGATTTATTTATACCTGGTACATCAATCAAATCAGTGCATGAACCTCATTTGCTTGTCATACTTGATTCAACAAGGGGGAAAAAACATGTTTAGCGACTGAAACTGGTGAAAACCTAGTTTGTTGTATTTTTTATTTCATATATAACATGATAGCATGATTTGAAGGATGGACTGAATGGAAAAGCACTGAGATCCTTTCGGCATCACTGTCAGTGTGCCATGTTACGCTGACACTTGCAAATGCTTAGGTTAGTAGTAGATTAGCTTTTCTCTTATGTACTGATAAGTGTATGAAATGATGTGAAAATGTTGAAGGCTTGAAGCATTTCTCATTAAACATTTCTGGTTTCTCGTCGGTAAGAAGTGATCTTGAATTAAGTTGTAATTCAGAATTCGGAATTCGTTTTTACATCATTTTATAACCAAAAAGTGAAATGAGTAGATAGTCAGAGATTGAATAGTGACTTATATGAGTATAACTTAAACTGAAGTGGAACATAAAATGTTAAAATCAGCTTGCATATTTAAGGGTTGTTGTTTGGTCGGAGGAAGAAAGTTGATAAAGATGAAGATTCTAGCATCCTCTATGCCTTTAACACTCTTTCTGCCTTTATCTGCAACCCCTAACAAACATTAAAGCAGAATGAAGTACTGTTTTTTTTTTTCTCCAGAGTTTTTAGAGGATCAATATTTGATGTTCTGTGCCCACACAGGACATGCTATTGATATTAGGGTTTCACATTTGCATAATTATTTAGTTTTTTTCCTATATGTATGCATTATTGATATTCCAATTTTGCGACCTTGAAGGTAATGCCACTTAAACTGTGACTGGCGCATATGAAGTGTGAAGACAAAAGTTAAATTTACCACTGCACCACTAAAGACAATGTTTACCACGTGAAATTTATTTAGCAGACATTTTTCAATCATTGTGACTCGCAGTACACTATTGTTTATATCCAGATTTTTGTTAGGATATTATGTGTTGAATTGTTTCTCAGTTAGCATTATCTGTTGTACATTTGCAGTTCTTATTCTTCGGTTAAAGTTAATTTGTAAAGGGTGTGTAAAAGGCTGTTAAGCGTCAAAGGGATGATAATTCCAGAGAGTCATTTATCTAATGGATGCATTAGGCCTGTTATTGTAATGAACACTTACATGCTGCAAGTTGAGCTGCACACAGTCACACCATTAATGTGTTACAATTTTAAAATCAGATTTGACTGTGTTATACCATTGATTTGCCAGCATATGTGCACAATAATGTATCTATGTTTGAAAGTTGAATAGACTGGGTCAAAGGCTAAGGAAAAATAAACTTGTCTTTTACTGACTGTCATTATAGTGTTAATATAGTATTTTTTATATTATTTATTGATATTTTGAAATAACATTTTATTTTTATTATAATTATATATTTTATAGATTCTAAATATTATATATTTAACCTTATTTTTACTTTAAGTAATATTAGTACTTAATTTTTTTTTAAAGTTTTTCATATGTTTTATTTGAGTTAACAACATTGCTGTCATGGCCATTTTTTCCCCGAATATGTTTAAAGTGATTTTGCTTTTAGTTCCACACTCTAGCATATTTCTGCTTAGCATTGTTTCAAAAAATATGAATATATAATGTGTACATCATTCTGCCTAACATTTCCTTTTGTGTTCCATGTGAGAAAGAAAGTCAAACAGGTTTGGAGCAACGTGAGTAAAATGATACAGATTTTTTTTCTTCTTTGGTGTATAATCTATCCCTTTAAAGGGGTCATATGATGTTGCTAAAAATAACATTATTTTGTGTATTTGGTGTAATGAAACGTGTTTATGCGGTTTAAGGTTAGAAAACACATTATTTTCCACATACTGTACATTATTGTTGCTCCTCTATGCCCCGCCTTTCTGAAACGCGTCGATTTTTACAAAGCTAATCGTTCTGAAAAGCGAGGTGTGCTGTGATTGGAAAGCTATCCGGTGCGTTATGATTGGCCGAATACCTCAAGCGTGTGACGGAAATGTTACGCCCCTTACCATAAAACAAAGTAGTTTCGCTTTCACAACGAAACACACAGCGCCTTCACGACATGGCGGCGGCAACAACAATACTACAGCGAGAATCAAAGTTACGCCTTCTTTCTTTGCGTGAACATTTGGGCGGCGTTATGCAAATCTTCCCACATTGTGACGTAGACATGTGGGGGCGTGTTAGAATGAGCCCTTTTAGGTAGGCGTGGTTGGCTCTTAACTAGGGATGCACCAATACCACTTTTTCCAGTACTCGCCCGATACGATACTTTTATTTTTGGTACTTGCCAATACCGAGTACCGATACCAATATTTTTATTGCATTTGTACATTTTTAAAATATTAGGTACAGAAACCAAAAGAGTATGTATAATGTTAGTTGTTAACTTCATTTATCAAATAGATACAGTCAAACCAAAATTTATTCAGACACCTTCAACATTTCTCACATTATCACAGTTTATTCGCTATAGTTTAGAAAATGGTAATAAAATATAACAAGAACTCAGAGTTAAACGGAGTCAGAACAAATTCAGCTTGATAATGTTAGATAACTTTGATAGAAAGGCATGTAATGGATTACAATCAACCCAAGCACATCAGCTATACAGGCATTAATACTGAATGTTTTATATTCATTGCATACATATACTTCGTAGTAGACATCCTTAACTCCATTCTGCTGTCTGTTGTCGGTGTTTCTTTGTCTGAATATGGCGCTTATCACATGCTGTTTGGTATCGGGGCATTTTAACGAGTACGAGTACAGGAGCTCAGTATCGGGCCGATACCGATACCAGTATCGGTGCATCCCTCCCTACTCTAAACTTTTATAAAGAATATCTCTTTGGATTTGAGACTTTAGTCTTTGCAACTTTACAGATCTTCTTTATGCACCGAGAGCTTGTAACACTCCAAAGAGAAAGGACAAATTGAAATAGCATCATATGACCCCTTTAAAACGCACCAAGATCTCTAATCTCAAAAGTGTTTATTCCCGTCGCCAGGGTGACGGTGTGGGCGGTAGTATTTGATGACGTTCGAGAGCAGAATTAACCAATCGGATGAAAGAAACGCTCTCCGACGTCACCGTCAAAGTGAGCGACCGTTTTTTGACTACAAGTCAAGAGCTTGGAATATTACAAGGACAGAGACAACCAAAATGCCTCGGTTATTATTTATATTGTGTTGAAGAGCATCAGTGAACTGTCGTGTATCGGCTGCAAGAGTTCAAAGTGGCTTGCGTGGAAGTCTCACTCACGGTGGGCTCTTCCCTGAAGGAGCGAGGGGAGAGGAGGATGGTCTCGCTCACTCTGGTGAGTAATGCTATGAATGCTCGCACTGCACATTCTCGCTTCGCCGTTCCCACTGATTTACTCGATTCGGAAGCTTCTGGACGTTTCACTAATTACATAACATCGGCTGGCGAGCTGTCTTGTGTATAAATGTATGAAATGACACTGTTCTGCAGCGGTAAAGCGCTAAAGCGCGAGTTAGGTATTTAATTCTTCAGACCCAGTCCTGCAGATTGAATGTATTCATATGAATACAAAGTCTTTTTGTTTTAAATAAATGTTTGGTATCGTGTACGTCAGTCTGGTGCTGTCTCTCTTTTTAAGGTAATAGTAATATAAACTTGACATTTATTCAAAGTGCTCGGGTTATATTTTGTTTATCCAGTACTTGGTGAAGTTTAGTGATGTAGGGCTGTACACTGCAGCTCGATCACGTGACACACTGCTGTAGTACGGGAGACTGGGCAGTGTGTAACATTTTGTTACCCTCTTTTTGTTTGGGCGCTGTCTTAAACCTTGATTTTCCCTTATTTGTCTGCTTCTAGTTAAAGTAGTTTATAAATATACTACTTTTTCATAAAATGTGTAAATTAGTGTCATCCAGCGTTGTTACAACCTAATTTACCCCACCATCAGGATCAGTTGTAACAGTGTTACGGTAACAAAAAAACTAAGAAGTGAAATAATAAGATTGAACAAATTTAAACAAAATGGGATTCTGGCATTTGCCACAATCATGAGATTATAGGTCCTTA